TGTGTGTGTGTGTGTGTGTGTGTGTGTGTGTGTGTGTGAGTTGATGGTGCAGGCAGACAGGCGGGTCTCAGTAGCTTAAGATAGTATGTGACATATAAATGGTCAAAAATTGTACATTCTCCATTAGCTTACGAGCTCCATGTTCAAGCGATCGACTATTCCTTCGCAATGTAGCATCACATTGGATATGCGCTTAAGTTGCTCTAGATTGGAATTATTCAGATCATTTCCCTATGACGAATTAGCACAAATGTGCTTAAAATGCATGAAAAACGCCCATTTTTCGAAATGGCCAGCTTTCTGGGGGGCGGGGCTAATGAAAAGCAATTTGAAATATGTGTGCAATCATAATAGCAATGTGTATACAGTGTTTCGTGAATATCGGAAAAACTATATGCGAGCAGTTTGGAGCAATTTGCGACATGTAAATCGTCAAAGATGGTGTATTCGCTGTTAGCTTACGACCTCCACGAGTGATTTTTCAAAAATGTGCTCCACAATTAAGTATCATATTGGATAGGGGCTGAACTTGTCCTGCATTGGAATTGTTCCGATCATTCCCCTATTAGGAGTTTGCAAGAATGTTCTTAAAATGCATGAAAAACGCAGATTTTTCAAAATGGCCGACTTCCTGGGGGGTGAGGCTAATGGAATTTATTTACAAATATGTCCGCAAGTCCATGAGGAATGTCTGTGCCAAAATTCGTGAACTTCTGAGAAATTATATGTGACTACCACACAATAGGGGGTGCTAGTGAGCAGTTTTTTCTTTTTTAAATTAAGTTTTATTTTACATTCTCAAAAAGGTTGTGGGCTCTGACGTGTGTCCCAAGTTTTGCGTCCGAAGCTCATTTTATGCTATCACAATTTAAAAAAATGTATAGGCCACGCCCACATTCTGCATTTGTTGCGACACTTTAAATCTCAGTTTGTAGTCAACCCCAGAGTATGTGTAAAACATTTTTTTTTTAAATTCGTCCATCCGTTCTTGAGTTATAAATTGGTGGTGTTTTTGGCGCCCCCTATAGTCCAAAATGAAAATTATTTGGTGTGCCTATTTCCCAAGACAGACTGAACCTATCCACCAAAATCTGTGATGTTTGGATACATTGTTGAGGAGTGATGAGCATTTCTTTCTAAGCCCCGCCTTTTTGCGAGTACGTTTTGATTAATGGCGGCAATATTTATCGTCTGAACATGCACATTTTCTACGGTAATGTGTCTGACCCTCCACCGATACTGTATACGAAGTTTGGTGTTGAAAAACTGAAAATTGAAATGTAAGTGAATAAATGTAGGCGGAGCTTAGGGTTTCAAGAGGATTATTTGTAGAGCAGGTCCACCCGGATATGTTTGCAAACATTCAGGTCATTTGGAGTTACGGTGCGACTTTGTAAATTTATTCCGAAATGGGCTTTTGATAGGTGGCGCTAGTGAGCAGGTTGGACTATTTAACCCATTGACTCCAGAATATTGTATTTTTCACCAGTCCTGGCGTCCGTGCAACTTTTGAAGCATCCTAAAGGCCTCAAAAACAGGAAACGCCAGCAGAAAAATAAGAATTCCACCAATAACAATATGTTCCTCGCACTTCGTGCTAGGACGCCGTTGGGTCCTAGCGCTCCGTGCTCGGGCCCTAATAAATAACATCATGAAAATAAATATATTGCAATGCTCAAAACAACAGCATCCAACAGTCTCTAACCCTTGGATATTACATGTGACTGCATTCATGCACGGAGCACCCGTAGCGCGGAGATCATCATATCAATCTGTCTTGTATTATTTAACAAAAAAAAAGGAAGGAAAAATAAATGTAAAAGAGCCGGCTCGTTCGCGATCGACACATCACTATTCAGGTGGGAAAAGGAAAGAAAGCCGATTGCATCTGGTGGAGGGACTGAAAACTGCCATGAAGGGACCTGAGGAACAGGAATGTAGCGGGGAGGGGAGAAAGATAGGATCAGAAAAGAAGAAAGCGTCTTAAACATGACCAAACATACAGAAATAAATGCATGTAAAAAATATGCCCCCTTTATCTGCAGATTAAAGAGCAAAGGTGCTGATTCATTTTGACAAAGCAACTGAAGACTTTCCTCAACAGATGCTTCAGGGCAGGTAACAGATCACCCGTTCTGTGTCTCTCTCTCTCTGTGTGTGTGTGTGTGTGCCCAAAGAGCGAGGTTTTTCCGGAGCCCATGTACACCTGGACCCGAGTAGGGGGGCTCCTGCTGGATGGCAGGGAGTACCATGCGGGCAGAGAGCTGGTCCTGGACAGAGTCCCTGCTGACCTCAATGGCTCCATGTTCCGCTGCACGGTCCAGAATCCTCTGGGCTCCACAGACACACACACCCGCCTTATCGTGTTTGGTGAGTGTGTGTGAAGTGACGCGTTGAAATCCTTTGTCTTAGTCTGGTGAGCTCCAACTCAATGGTTTTCTTATTTGATGTATTTTACAGACAACCCAAGACTGAAGAAAGGAAGAGGACCTGTTGTTGGTAGGTCTCTCAGCTCACTATGCATCCCATGAAGTTATAAAATACTTGAAGAACATATATATTGCATCAATTATGCACAATTAAACAATCCATTTTAAATTATGTTTAACAAATAAAGTCAGTTATCATTATCTCAGCTGGGAGGGGCTCATTATCTTTTTCACTCATCATAAAACCAGCAGTCAGTAAATGAAAGATACGTTTGTAACGAAAGTTACCAAAATCACTTTTTCATAAATTACTTTTGATTTTATATATTAATGTTACTATTGTTATGACATGGACTCACTGCTGGTTGGCATGTGTAGACTGTAGAGTGTAGTGAGTCATGCTGTGTGTGTCTGCAGCCGCTGCGCTGCGGCTCTCCTCCTCCTCCTCCTCCTCCGCCCTGCTGCTGCTGCTGAGCTCCACCTGGGGGCTGACATGACCCGAGGCTTCTGCTCCTCTACCCCCCCCACCTGAGCATCTGCTCTACAGTGGCCCGGCAGCGCTGAACACTAAAGGTGCAGTGGGACAGATACTGCAGCCCCCCCCACAGAGCAGAGGTCCATCCCACAGCAGACACCACCGGTTACACCAGACCAGTTTCTCCAGACGGGCTGTTTGGGATTTCTGGGTCCGTCTTTGCTCCCCTCCCACAGTGGAGTTTCTGAAGACCACATCAAATACTAATGACAATGCTTCTGTAACATTTGAAAGAACAACAACAACAGCATTTCCCCCTCCCTTTGTGACCCTGCACTGTAAAGGCCTCTGTGTCAGAGTGTTTCCTTGTTTAACTAATGCATACATGAATCAATAATGTGTTATTGAAATTATTTAAAGCTCCAAATTATTTTAAATCCCAAGCTTTCAGTTTTTAACATTTGCTTCAAAATGACTGTATCCATGTAGAGTAATGCTGGAGCCAGACTAAGAGTCTGCAGACCCCCTGTTTGAGGACCCGGTCTCTAATGATCCAGAAAGACGCTCATGTCCCTAGACTGGACATGCATAAATTGTATTAGTGGTCTAAACTATATATTTTCTATATATATTTATATATATGTTAATGTTTCTCCTTTCAAGAATTCAACTATTGTTGACACATTTCGGAGAAAAAAACAACAAACAATCTTTCTTAGCTTACAGCAGGGGTTTTCAAAGTGTGGGAAGGTGAGCCTCCCCTCAGAGAACATAAGAACAGCCTTTTTTTTTGGCGAGGTCGGGGAACTCGGTCTCCACAGACAGCCAAAAGTGTGCAAGTGACAATTTACTCGTCTTTTTCTCGTTATTTCTTTCTCACGCGGCGCCTCCCCTGAAGCTCTCTGGCCCCAGGGAGGCGCGCCTCACACTTTGAAATCCGCTGGCTAAGAGGATGCTAGTTCTCTAAAACCATTTGAAGAGACTGTTATGTAATATATCCCGTGGAATAAAACAAAAACCTCCATTGTGCTGTCAGTGATCTGTCTGAACTAATAATGTTCTAAACATCAGCTTTTGGACTCAGGCCTGGCTCACCTGCAGATGATTTCTCCGGCAGCCCTGTGACCAACTGTGTCTGTTTTAACACATTTCAAAATATCAAAATGGTTTTACACTAGACATGAACTCACTCCATTTAACCACACACATTGCAACATTTGAAAGCTAAAGCAAAGTACTGGTATTATAAGGAACTAGAAGAACCTGAGGAATACATTGGTACCAACCATGTGGTGCTTGCTTGTAGGAAATAACCTCCTAAGCACATTGTTGGCGAGGGAAGAGCTGACATGGCTATAACCACAGGGGGCCCTTGACCTCTGACCTCAAGATTTCTGACTGTACTGTAATAGGTTCTATAGATACCCAGCAGCCTCTGCTCTAAAGACATGCTCGCTTTATGATAATCACATGCAGTTTGGGACAAAAACCATGTTGTTTTCTTGCATGCTGTACAAACGTGTTATTTTCCCTACTCTAAAATGGTTGAAAAGAGAGGTGAAAGACCCTGCTGAGCGTTACGTTTTGTAACATTTATGTGTGCTATCAAAATATAGCACTACAAGAGACTTGTACTGCCCACCCAGTTAACACGGCCAGTATAGCCACCGCTTTGTATGAAGCTGCACACATCTTATGTTTAGATGTCAAGTTATGTATAAAGAAAAAAAAATAGCAGGTTTGAGATATTAAAAAGGAAAATGTGTCAATTCTGAACATTCCCTTCATTCAAATATGGGAAAGATAAATATTTCTGGAGAAGTGAAAGGTCTCGTTAGGCCTTCATGTCCTGTGCTGAACACTGATGTTTGAATGAAGATGCTCTTATGTGTTGGTATTGGTTTATTTCTTTGAATAGTGATTAGACAGGGTGTGTGGTTTAGGCAGGTGGTAGAAGGCAGCGTAACAAGTGATGTAACACTTTGGTGGGTGTTGGCTGACTTCATGTCAGATAAGCAAAAATGTTAAGAATTATAACCTCAATCTCAGGGTGATTTTGAAGTTCATGTTTCGTTATAGTATAAATCCTGATGAGCGTCACCCTTGTTGGTGATGGAATAGAGAAACCCTGGACACGTGCACACACACTGCAGTCTGGAAATGAGAGGGCCACACAGTGCTGCTGTCTTGGGGCTTTATTTGAAGTGTGTCCACAGGAACGTTATTGTAAAGAGCACATATGCACTCCTCTTCTCGAACACACATTTTAGGAATATCTCTACAACACACTCAATCCAAAGACCAACACTCAGGAGGGGGCACTCCGTGGTGCGGAGCAGAACTCTGCAGACGGAAGCATCTTGTTAAAAAAGGTTTCAAATAAAACACATTTCCGACCTGGAGGTGTGTGATTGTAAAAGGCAGAGACGGAGACAGGCAGCTTCAGTGTGTGAGGCAGGGGGGGGGGCTGCAGGTCCCCTCACTCCCTGTGTCAGTGCTATTACCCCCCCTCCCCCAACTAATGGTCACTTATACACAAAATAGAGAGGGAAAGGCAGTTTGTTTGTATATTTTACATCATCAGCTTGATCTGTTATTCTCCACACTTCATAATTAGTACAGTATGTACACTGGTTTATAGTATTGGTTTGTAGCTATATTTACATTTCTGTCTATACACAAACATGTAGGACATATAAACATGAAGCCAGTGTTTCTTCATCAAATGTACAGCGGCTTGCATATGTTGTGATTTAATGTGCCAGACATCAGGTCATGTGACTGGTTCAGGTGACATGTGTCTGACTGTTCCCTTTACTGCAGTTTGTCAAACTCTTTAAAACACTGAGGCCTACAAAAATCAATAAAAGCCCTGACAGTCTCAGGGTTTAAGAAAAGTTACTAATGCTTGTAAAACAGTGATGTGATCAGGACTCGAGCAGTAAGCAGTCTTCGTTCTCGCTGGAAGGAAGCATCAGCTGCTGCTCGTAGTACAGACTCTTGGCATAGTTGATTTCCTGAGAGATTTTGATGGCCAGACTCTCACTCTTCACATGGACCTGTGGAGAGGGTCGTTACAGGATTACTATTAACGCAGTGAGAATAAGAATAAAGGTGTTTAGGGTGTAAAGTGAATGGAAGTGAAAACATACAACTGGTATGCATCATCACTTCATCACTTATCAGGAGCTCACATACAATGGTCTTCATGTAAAGAGAAGGTTCAGAGATGCAGTCTTTTTAGGAATATTACTCTTTCCCTCCTAAGCAATCTAAAGCCAATACATGCTGAAGGAGTCAACGGGGGCTGTGGAAGACGTCCTGCGTGGTTCCTGTCCCTAAAAAGATGACTCCTTCTGGGCTCAATGACTATCACCCAGTAGCTCTCACATCTCATGCTGGAGAGACTGGTTTTATCCCATCTCAAACCGCAGCTGAGATCATTCCTAGACCCTCTACAGTTTGCCTGCCATTCTCATCTGGGGGGGACGATGCTGTTATCTACCTGCTGCAGCGTGCTCACTCGCATCATCTCCTGGATTACCAACTCCCTCACGGACAGACCACAATACGTCCGGCTGGGCAGTGTGCTTTCTGATGTGGTGGTTGGTAGTACAGTGCTGTCTCTCTTCCTGTTCACCTTATACACCTCAGACTTTCAATACAACTCTGAGTCATCCCATCTGCAGAGATGTTCGGATGACTCTGCAGTGGTAGGGTGTATAAGGGATGGACGGGAGGAGGAGTACAGAGCGCTGGTGGGTGATTTTGTAGAGTGGACTGGAGGAAATCATCTGCTTCTGAATGTGGCCAAGACCAAAGAGATGGTCATTGATTTCAGGAGGAAGAGGAGGTCTCCTCTGCCCCTGTGCATTCTGGGAGAGGATGTGGCTGCTATGGAGGACTGCAAGTACCAGGGAGTGCACTGGCACACTGACGCTTTGTACAAGTACACTTTTTTTTTCTTTCTATTGATGTGCAATACTTTTGTTTTACATACTGCTGCAACAAAAAAACGTTCCCCACTGGGGATCAATAAAGTATATCTTATCTTATGTTACTGTAGTCTGGAGGTTTGAATGGGCTCAACTGTTCAGTGTCTTTGGGATCAAGGGAACCCTTTGGAAAACCGAAATGTATGTATAAAAGTCTTAAATTATAGTCTGATCTTCACTCAACAAACACAATCTGTTGTAACTGATAGCAGACAAAGTATTTTTAAGTTCTTATCCAGATTGAAAACATCATTCAAACATTGACAGTGCAGATTTGAAAAGTATGTGAACCCCTAGACTTCAGCTCACCATAGGTTTCTGGTGGGAGGGGCCTGGGATGGCCACCCCGCTGCTGGTGCTCTCTGCCTTCTTGGTGAGCTGCACATACACCTTCCCATGATCCTTAGAGACCAGGCAGTGGTACAGGTCGTCATACTTCACCTCCAGGAAGATGGCCTCCCGGTCCACGTACTCCCCCGGCCGCAGGAAGTACACCACCTTAGAGGAGATGAGGACGCAGTAGCTGTCGATGGGTTCCACAGCGATGAAGCTGGGGGGGGGGGACAGTGAACAGTCAGTGTGATGAACAGCAGGTCAGCAAGGGGAAGACACACACAATGACAGGAGACTCACAACTCAGAGTGGATGCTGTCCGTCAGGCGGAACAGCTGCTCCTGCCCCTCCGCCTGAGTGGCAGAGTGTCGCGGGAGCAGACCCTGGGGGCCCTTACAGCAGCGCGGCTTCCTGACCCGCTGTACCCCCAGCCTGCAACACAACACACAGCTGATCAACACAACACACAGCCTGCAACACAACACACAGCTGATCAACACAACAACACACAGCTGATCAACACACAGCTGATCAACACAACACAGTGTTTCCCACAGATCTCAAATATACTTGGGGGGATGGTGACATGCAGCAACATTAACATGAACCTTTCTGTTGGTCGCTTGTTAGCAGACCCTTCACGCAATGGCAGAGCGAGCAGGTACAGGCAGGGCGCATAGTGATAGCCCTATAGTTTAAATCTACTAGCCACAAATAAACATATGGACATGGGTTACTATTTTGTAAAAAAATTGTAAATGTATTTAGGAACCTATCCATGTGATTTTAAGTGGGGATGGACCTCAAATCCTCTAGGGGGGTTAAATGCATCAATCTGGTGCACTTTGAGGGGAAAATAAAGAGACTAGATCTATGGAAACACCTATGTGAAACAGAACTGTATACATTTCAATAATCATAAAATCATGGCCATAACCAATAACATACCATTTCCCTATATGAAAAAACACTGAAAGTTATTTTTGGTTCATTTATAGTTGTGAGTGTGTCTGGGCTCCTGAATCAGCCTCTCCTGTTTCCCTCCTCTCCCTCCTGCTCCTCTCCCCCCGTCTCCTCCCTGCTCCACATTAGGCAGCAGCAAAGACTAGTTTTCGCTCTCAACAAGTTTTAAAAGTGTATCTTACCTTTTGTATCTTACCTTACCTAGTTAACTTTTTATTTATTTATTCATGCATATTTTACTAATCACTACCCTCTCAAATGGAAATATGTGTTTACATAAATGGTGACCAAACCGTTTGAGACCCACTGAGAACTTAGACTAAGTGAACTATCTAAACACTCAGAGAGTCCTTTACCTCACCTGAGCTGAGGTTATCCCGAGCTTGAATGACACACAGAGACCAATCAAGGGCTTTGATTTATGATCTGTATGACAGTGGCCATGTCGGCAG